AAGGAAAGTCCATGAGACTCTTATCTCCAATTAACCACCAGAAAACTGGAAGTGGCACTGTGGCTCAAGTGGTAGAGTGCTCGCCTTGAGCTGAAGAGCTCAGGGACAGTGCACAGGCCCAGAGTTCAAGCCCCACAAACAAACAAACGAACAAAAAAAAAGCTAGCAATGCTAAACAGGCAGGTAAAATGATAAAGTACTGCTTCCTATCGAATGCTCATATAAACTAGACAAGACTGGTAATTCTCATGTACTTGAGTGCTAACTGAAATAGTAGTTTGGATTAAATTAAACAACACCATGTTATTATTATTGCTGTTTTGATTTTTTTGAGGGGAGGTACTAGGGACTAAACCTAGGAACTTGTACATGCTAAGCACCTGTCTCACTGCTGAGCTATACTAATCACCCCCAAAGAAACATGTAGTAAAATATAGTTTTGCAGTCTTTTTTCTATTTGCATTAATAATTAATTCTGGAAGATTACTCTTATAACCATTATACTGATAATTTTGTAAGAAAACTAGCTTTTATTTCTGAAATAGCATTTTGTTCTTGACAAAGAACTCTTTGCTGAAGGGTGGGAGTGAGAAGATATGGAGCAGGTCTCACTACATAGTTGATATAAGACTGACTTACTAGGTTCAGTACAGAGTATGATATGTCTATAGGTCTAAATTCCAACATGAGTAATATGGATCCACATAAGAAATTTTGATTTGCAAATTTGGTAAGATTCCCAAATGTATTTATTTTGTTTTATCAGAGGAATGATTTCACCATGTAGCCCTCATTTGAACTTGCAATTCTCCTGCCACTGGAAATTATTATTATTATTTTTTATTGTGAAAATACCATATAGAGGGGTTACAATAATATGGGCAAGACTGCCACTGGAAATTATTACAAATTTTTGCCAACATCTCCCTATATATCTAGCAACAGAGGACTCTGTGTTTTTAGGATATACATTTTTTTAAAGAATAATTCCCGAATTTAGTTTAAAGGGTACGAAATACAATCACATAGATAATCATATTGGGTTGGCTTGAGTATTTTGTGAAAACTTTCCAATCAATTGTGACCTTCATCTCCTAGTGAGTCATGTTAAATACATGGCTTTTTTTTTGCATCTGACTGACTTCTTATCTACACCCTTTCTTTGTCCTTAATTCAGGTCCCAATTGTGGTGTTCATAAACTTAGCCCAGTCTAAGCTTACATAGAAGATTCATACCTGTCTATGCTAATACCACGTTCCTATCAGAGCTTTCATCATGTACTTTCTCCTTATAAATTACCTCACATAGCCTGAAAAATGTCAACTCTATTCTCCAATGTTCCTACATTTTAAACAAAAAATCAGAGCTGTTCAAGAGCCTGCTACATCTGGTACATTTCCAACTGACAGCTGTTAGTTGCATCTCTTATTTCTAGACAGCAAGTTGGCTTGCATTATTTGACATTTTAGTGGGAATGCCAGCTTAAGGCTGAGAATTTGGGGCATATTAAAGCAGGCGATTAGAATATTAAGAAATACATAGCAAATTGGATTGCTGTAAGGATACATAGTAAGAAAAATACTATCCATAGAAGGTCATTTATAATTGTCTCCTTGTTTCTTTAAGTCCTAGAGAAAGCAAACACTTCAAAATCACTATTTGCCTTTACCTTCTCCATCTTCTTGAATTGACTTTGGCTGTGACACAGTGAAACACTGCATTACTTCATACCGCTGGCAAGCTTCTTGGTTTTCTGTACCTGGCTCGTCTGGAGGGTGAATTAGCATCCTGCAGTTGAAAGTATGGCTATTTCGGCGTGTTGCCTCTTGAGGCCAAGGAACTCCATTTACTGAGGAAGGCAGATTGATTGTGAGTAAGGCAGATGTTTGTGAATAAGGTTAAAAAAAGTACAAACTCTGAAGATACAAAAGATATTCTTCAAGTCATCAGATTAATTAGTTATAATAAAGAGCTCTAACCTTACTGAGTCAACAGGATACTTAGCAAAATTATGTTTCCAGAAAATGTATAAGAACTCCTCTCTCAAATACTCATTAACAGCCTTTATAAGGCAAACATTTAAAAATACTATTTTTCTTAGAATTATTAGTAAATTAATGAACTTTTCTACTGGTTTCCAGTAATGGCTTGACATTAAGGAAAGGATTCAAAAAATCACTGCTATGTTGTTAAACAGGGATATTTATAGGTCCATCTTGGACCCTTAAGAATAGGCTTTGTAGACTGGGAATGTGGCTTAGTGGTAGAGTGCTTGCCGAGCATGCATGAAGCCATGGTTCAATTCCTCAGTACCACATAAATAGAAAAAGCCGGAAGTGGCACTGTGGCTCAAAGTGGTAGGGCACTAGCCTTGAGGAAAACAAGCTCAGGGATAGTGCCCAGGCCCTGAGCTCCAGCCCCAAGACTGGCAAAAAAAAAAAAAAAAAAGGCTTGAATCTTTTTAGAGAGAATACTCGAAGGTTCTCCCAGGTGTCTGTGTTTCAAAAAAATACTTAGATATTAAAGAACAAAGTTGGTTTCTTAAAACCATCTTTCCTAGTCTTTAGTGAATTAACTGAATCAACTAACTCATGATACAAAGCTTTGAGTATAGTGAAATTCTGTAAAAAAAAAAAAAAAAAGGAGAGAGAGAGAGATTACAGAAAAAGAAGGGCTAACTGCTTTAGTATAAGAAAACTGAATTCAGTTATAAAAAAGTTATTAGTGTATTTCAAGTAAGAATCTCTGTGTGGCAAGTCATGATTTCACAACCACAGTGTTACATTCAGACCATGGAAATCATGAGGCAGACAGTTTTTAAGACTGCTCTTTCACCATTCTAAATATTTTCTTATCTTATACTCTCTACTGCACTGTTTTCCTTTTATACATCTCTATAATTGTTAGAAGAAAGCATAGACATAAACCTAGATTGGAGTAAAGGATTTTGGAGTTTCTACTTTTAGCTTGTTGTGAGAATTGGGTTAATGTTTGATTCCTAGATCATTAGATTGTTCTCTAGCTTTTGTCTGTTTCTACCTCTCTCACTCATATATGTATGAAATCTAAATGTACAATGATGATGACAACGATAATGATGATAAAGGGGACCTGGGTCTAAAAGTGGGACTATCTGGAGAGTGTTCAGTGGGCCTTTGGGAAGAAAAAGCACTGAAAAGAAAAAGCATAAATGCTATTATTAATGTTTAAAAAAGCCACTGATTGGGGGGTAGGGGGGAGGCTGGGAAGTGATGTGAAGGGTAAACAAAGGAGGAGGCTGCAATGTTTGGTAAGAAATGTACGCATTATCCTGCCCATGCAATTGTAACCCCTCTGTACAGTATTTTCACAAATAAAATTAAAAAAAATTGAAAACATAGTCAATCAGTGTAAATAAAAATTTCTGTCACTGGGAAAAAAAAAGCCACTGATAACATAAATAAAACAAGATACAAAACAATCAACAAATAGATTTTTTTAAGGTAAAAGTAGCTGCCCAGCTGCTTGAATGTGATCTAAAGAAAATGAACCAAATACTTTCCATGGAACAAAGAAGCAGGGACAAGTTGTTTCAAATCCCCTATGAAATGGTGGCTAGAACATCTTAACTATATTACTTACATACTTTATCACACATACCTGTGTGAAAAACTGACAAGTGATCAATTTATCTGTGTGATAAGCTGGTTTTATTTCAGAGCTTGTTGAACAAGTAATGGGAAAAAATAGAAATGCAAGAATCTGAAGTGGCATCTGACATTAAATACGAAAAGATTCCCTTTTACTAACAACATTCACATTCACTATTGAAAACACATCCACTTAGATGGAAACATAGGAATCCAATAACTATGAAAAATTAGAACTGGAACTCTGAAAAGCTTTAGTAGAAAGTTGAAAATTCAAGATGTAAACAAAGGCTTCCAGTATGCCTTTAGAGAATAAGTAAAAGTTCCTTTAATTCCTAAGAACCCTGCCCTGCCCTAAGGCACATGATGGTTTCATGAAATGAGTGGCATTGGACATCTTCTCCAAGCATCTTCTTAGCTGGGCTACTTGGCAGTGGACAGAACATCTAATCAGAGTTGGGATTCTTGAACTGAAACCATTTATACTTCCCAAATATCAATTTTACAGGTGTGTAACACAGCAAGATGCTCCTTTCTCCCCTTCTCTCTCATTTTCTCTTTTTTCTTTGAGCAGGGAAGTAAGAAGAATATAGTATGTCTTTTACATGAACATAATGAAAATTGAGAACAAAGGTCATTTTAATGTAAGCTTTATGTGGTGAAGCAATTAATTGCTGTCTCCCACGTCTGTCAACATGTCATCATGACAAAATATAGCAAATGACAAACACTTTCTTATAATATATATCTGAGGCTGAAACAGCACTTAAATATTTTAAATAGTTATTATTTTACATTCTTTTATAACATTTATACTTCTATAAATTATAATACTATGTATAATATACTGTGTATAATAATACAAATATTGTAACTACATACACATACATATTAGCTATAGAAAGTTAGTGCTCTTTTTAAAAATGTTTTTTTACCTAGTGATTTTGGTAGTAGATTCTTGACAAATTCTGCATGATCTCCCACATGCAGTATGCTGTAGACACTAGTGTTCATTAATTCTTCCTGATTGTAACCCAAGTAGCTGGTCACATTCTCTGACACAAATACAATTCTTCCTTCACAGTTCACAACAAAGAAAAATCCATCCAAAGCCTGCAAAACCAAAAGAGGGATTAAGAGGTTAGATGATTAAAAAATAAATATAAAGTGAACATATACATTTTGCTATTAATAAGTTTAAAAATATATGTCAAGATGTTAGGAGTGGTTATTGCTTGGTGGGTCAGGAGTTTTAAAGACTGTATTATTAATGTTTTTAGTATGCATGAATGAGTCAATCTTCTTTCGTATATTTCATTTGCTTTCCTCAAAAATCCCGCTTTTTATTTTTTTATTATCTTTAAGTAGTTATACAAAGGAGTTGTCATTTAACAAAGCAGTTTATGAATATAAAGCATCTTGATCAACTTCACCCCCTTCAATAGTCTTACTCATCCTTTCACAATCTAACCATTTCCTCATTTGAAGTAAATTTTGTGATTGCAGATATGAAGTGACTGTTCACTCAATCATAAAAAAATCTCTAAACCACGTGTGGTAGAACCTACTTCTGCCCTCAAGCAAGCTATGTTACAGTGGGAGAGAAAGATGTAAAACAGAGCCAGTGAAAAATGCAGTATTGAAATATATACAAATCCTCTGAGGGCACAAATAAGGGGCCTAATTTGAGATGATGGGGTAATGAAAGTTTTCTTCCTCATAGAGTCAGTCCTGACTTAGAAAAGGCAGAGTGAAGGAGGGCAAGAGGCTTAGGGAAGGACACTGTAGGCAAAGGCAGTGCAAGGCATAACAGTATGGAGCCGCTGGAGTGCATGACATAAAGCAGCCCTGTGTGGCAGGAAAGAAGTCAGCAAAGTAGATAAGACTATGTGCTGAGATGGAACCAGGGCTCTTTCTCCAAGAGGAGATGAATGTGCTCCCAAGGGGTGACAGTAAAAGCCAGACTCTCTATATTATAATCAAAATAACAATTCAAACTGTACTTTGATTATAATATAATCAAAATTAAAATAAATGTGTATCAAGCTGGATATACATATAAACATATTGAAGTCCAGAGAGATACAAACTTGATTGATCTCAAATCATAAACTTTGGAATCAGTCCTGAGGAAGAGTAGAATTATAGACTGTTACCATATGTATTTGGAATCTTTCCATTTATTGCATCATACACCCTGGTATAGCCAAAATGGAAACAGCATGGAGGATCCGCAACACAAACAAACTACTAGATGACACAGCATTCCATACCTGGACACACACACACACACACACAG